CTGGATGGAATTGGAGAACATTAGGTTGAGTGAAATAAGCCAGTCAATGAAAGAAAAACACAACATTATCTCATTCATTTATGGATAATAAAGAACATTATAAACTGATGAACAAAAAGATAGATACAGAGACAGTAAAGCAACAAATAGACTGTCAAATTACAGCAAGGAGGGTAGGGAGATATGAGGAAGATAAGAGATCAACCCAAGGACTTGTATGCATGCATATAAGCATAACCAATGGATGAAAAACTCTGGGGAGGAAGGGCAGGTATGGGAGTGGGAGAGAGGGCAATGGTAAGATATGTACGCATATAATACCTTAATAAAAAATAAATAAAAATATACATTGAAAAAATGAGTAAATGGTAGCTGATTTGTGTTATGTAAGATCCCTGACAATAGACCTTCTGTATTACCTATTATTGTATCCACCTGGCATATAGTAGACCCCAATAAAATTTTATTTCAAATGTTTATATTTGAAAGATAATTTTTAAGGCATGAATCTGCAAGAAAAGAACATTTAACTCTGAAGTGTTACTATTAATAAAATACTTTAGACAATTAAAAAAATTATTAGACTTAATAAATGAATTCAGCAATGTAGCAGGATACAAAATTAACGCCAAGAAGACTATGGCATTTCTATACACCAATAATGAACTTACAGAAAGAGAGACTAAGCCTCCATTCTTTCCAACTTCAAATGCCTCACGAGTACAAGGAATACTCCATTTGGCTTTGTTGGAATGTTTAAAAGTATCACCAATGACCTTTTTTTGTTAAGCAGAGGTTATAAACTGAAAAATCAAATTGGCTCACAGATGTGCTTGAAATATTTTTAAATTCAAGTTGATGTTATTTTAATATTGAGAAGTTTCACATAAAAATAATGTATTTCTTCTTCTTTTTTTTTTTTGAGATAGAAAAGAAGGGGGAAGAGGGGAAGGAAGGGGGATTTGTTGTTCCACTTATATGTGTTCATTGATTGATTCTTGTATGTGTCCTGAATGGGGATCAAACACGCAAGCTTGGAATATTGGGACAATGCTCTAGCCAACCGAGCTATCCGACCAGAGCTTATTTTTGGGTTTTCTTGAAAAATCAGAAGTTTCTAACATGAAGCTAGCATTCTAAATGACGACAATCAGGTGTAGTTGGCATAGCAGTCGGTTCCACAAAGGGCTTACAGTCACCAATTCATAATGCATACATTCAACTTATTTCTCTAGCCCTTAGACACATTTGAATTTGTAATCCTTGGGTTAAGGTTTCAGTTCTGACATTTAAAAATTAAAAGTCTATAAACCTATTTAGTTGATTTTTTTAAATAAAAATATTCAGATTATTACTAAAAGACTTTGCTTTCAAATTGAGTAGTTGAACAGTCACTTAAATATCCTTTTTTTGTCTAAGAATTTTACAGATGTAAACTGTCTCAAATTCTGGACTTAGAACACTTGGACTCAGTGTTCATTTTTTCAGAAAAATAGTAAGTAACATCAAGTTCATGACCTCTTATTATTATATGGTATTGAGAAGTCACACAGTAAGGCTTGCCCTGTTATGCTGTTTGCCAGTAAAGGCTTTTATATTGTGGTTGTGCATACTCCATTCTGAGTCCTAATAACCCGATGCAAAGAATTCCAGCACTCATGATCACATGTTGCCTGAAATCCCTATTGCTTCAGCATGGTATAATGAAAAAAATATGAACTGGCCTGGAAAACAAAAGAGCCAGATACTGATTCTAGTTCTATTACTAGGTACGTAAACTGGAGAACATTACGGTGTCCAGTTTTATTCTCTGCAAATAAGGAGTTAAATGACATAATCTCTAAGGTTAATCTTTGGAAAAAAAATAAAAATAAAAAGTATATGCTCAGAGCTTCTAATAAACCCTTCCATCAAGGCATTAAATTATTTCCTTGTTATTATGGTTATTAAAAACATAAAAAATAGAAGTCAATGTTATTACATAAATTAGCATATGCTTGACACATTAAAAAAATAGGTAGAGAAGCCAGTAAGAAACTTGTTAAATTTAGAATCATAAAAGGTTAGGCCATGAAAGGACTCTCAACCAAATTCTTTTACAGATAAATAAGAGAAAACCCAGAGAGGTTAGGTGGGAAGAGATGTGCAATATTCATAAAGGTAGAGAATGGACAGTCGAGGAAACCTAAGGTAAATCCCAAGTTTACCACTGATTATGTGATCTTGATTCATCCTCACTCTCCATGAACCTAAGTTTTTTGTTGAAAAAGGGAAATCACATTCACCTCTTATTATAAGAAAAGGCATTTAAACATTTCTGGAAAAAATCATTATACAAATTTTGGTTACTAATAGCCCAAAGTCACTTTGCTGATAGGAGGCAGGATGAGAATCAAGAACTGAGTCCTAGTACAGTATATTTTCCATTCTACCCCTTGTTATATTCCCATCTCCAATAGAACTTTGCTCTCCTTCTGCCTGAGTCTCCCTTTACATACAATGCATATGGACAGCATCACACTTCGAAATGTGATCTTGCTCTGAACTCTACCACTTCTCTGTAATAAATTCTCATTCATATATTAGTAAGATTTAAAAAGAATTATGTTTGCAAATAAACAGTTATTTAACCTATAGATATTTAATTAAGTTAATTATAGGGAAGTGTACACGAATAAATAAATATTAGGTCTAGTAATAATTAATGTCGTTTTCTAATACTTTTTTAAATCGAATTTATTTAAACAATACAACAAAATTTAATCAACAATATAGTTGCCATTGTTTTCTACTACTTGTGCCCAATGCTCAGGAAGCATTTTAATCCCTCTGTTGTAAAATTCTTGTGATTTTGATGCAAAAAATTCGCATTTTTGAGGCATTCTTCATTATTAAATTTTTTTCCAAGAAGAAAGTTTTGCAAAGAACGAAACAAATGGTAATCGGAAGGGGCAATATCAGGAGAATATGCAGGATGAGGGAGAACTTCCCATTCCAACTGGTGCAGTTTTTCAGCAGTGATTCTTGCAGTATGCGGTCGTGCGTTATCGTGGTGAAGAATTACGCCCTTCCGATTAATCAGCGTGGGTTCTTTTTCTCTTAAAGCTTGGGCTAACCTTTCCAATTGGGCACTATACACTGCACTTGTAATGGTTTGGTTAGATGGTAAAAGTTCATAATGAAGAATTCCTTTAAAATTCCACCAAATACACAATATCACTTTTTTCGCCTGCAAGTCAGGTTTTGGCGTGGGCTGTGGAGCCTCATTTTTGTCCTACCATTGAGGCCGCCTTTTCAAATTAACATACAGCACCCATTCTTCATCTCCGGTAACAATTTGCTCTAAAAACGGCAAACGGTTTTGACGAGAGAGGAGCAAACTGCAAATTGTGACTCTTTGATTACGGTTGTTGTCGGTCAACTCATGAGGAACCCATTTTCCAAACTTTTGGACTTTGCCAAGTGCATGCAATTGATTGGAAATTGTTTTTTGTGAACAATTTAAAGTTGTCGCAAGCTCTTGTTGGGTAATTTGAGGATTTTGCACCAAAAGAGCTTGAAGAGCTTCTTGATCAAAATTGGACACACGGCCTCGACCACTCTTGTCATCTAACGAAAAATTTCCCTCGCGAAATTTCTCAAACCAACACTGACATTTTCTGGCCTAACTGTATCTTGACCAAGAGCACTACAGATTTTTTTGCAGCCTCACTTGCTTTTCTTCCTAATTGGAACTCGTAAAGCATGCAGTGCCGAATATGCTCTTCATCCGCCATCTTCTTAGCCCTAGTTTTGCAACAAAAACCAAACCAAACACAAACTTTTTCAAGCAAAACTTGTTAATTGCACTTCACACGTTCTGTAGATACCACGTGTTTGAAGGTTATGTCAATACAAGTCAACGCCAAGCAAGATTTTAAATGAATGTTTAAAAACGACATTAATTATTACTAGACCCGATATTTGTTGAATAGCTAAAACATGCTAAGAAGTCATTGGTAAACACAGGTAGACATAATTTTTACATCTTTAATGCCATAACTCTTTGAACTGATCTAGAAAGTACCTGACTTTTTATTTACTAGAGGCCCGATGCACAAAATTCATGCACCGGAGGAGTTGGGGGAAGGGGTCCCCAAAGCCCAGCCTGCACCCTTTCCAATCCGGGACTGCTGGCTCCTAATTGTTCATCTGCCTGCCAGCCTGATCACCCCTAACTGCCCCCCAGCTGTCCTGGTCGTCCCTCACTGCCCCCCCCTGCTGGCCTTGCTGCCCCAAACTGCCCCCCTGCCAGCCTGGTCATCCCCAACTTCCCCCCTCTGCCGGCCTGGTAGCCCCCAACTGTCCCCCTCTGCCAGCCTGATCACCTCTAACTGCCCCCCTGCCAACTTGGTTGTCCCTCATTGCCCCCCACCAGCCTAGTTGCCCCCAACTGCCCCCCTTACAGTCTGGTAGCCCCCAACTGCCCCCCTACTGACCTGGTCACCCACAACTGCCCCCCCCCTCACTGGCCTGGTTGCTCCCAACTTCCCCCCTGCCTGCCTGGTAACTCCCAACTGGACCCTTGTTGGCCTGGTCACCCCCAACTTCCCCCCCATTGGCCTGGTCACCCCTATATGTCCCCCACGCTGGCCTGGTCACCCACAGAGCCTGTTCAGTTGTTTGGTCGTCCCTCACTATCCCCCTTGCCAGTTTGGTTGCCCCATGCAGCCTGCTGTTCAGTTATTTGGTCAACCCTCACTTACCTACCTGCTGGCCTGGTTGCCCGACGCAGCCTGCTATTTGGTAGTTCATCTGGTCGTTTAGATCATGACAGCCCCTGGCTTTTTATATATTAGGATTTTTATTTTTATGCTACCTGACTTTTTAGATTTAAATACATAAGGAGTATAATATGTCATAGAAGTCATAAATAAAACATTCCGTCAAAATTCCCCAATTTTAAAATTCCAAAAAAGGTTTAGTATATCTCAAATGACAAAGGAAATATGTGTACTTACAGTGCGAGTGTCACACAAAGGACCAAAGGGCCCCATAAATCCCCTACAAGGCAAGAAAAGACAGAAGACTGTTATGAAACAACCATGCAGTATTTTATATCTTTATGCCAATAGCTACCTCTCTCACTCTTGGAATTCAGACATTAATGCACTGTCTGCCTAAGCCTTCCCTCCTCTATTACCCCTTTCCTTGCCCTACCTGGTCCCCAATTTTAAATGTTCTTCTTTATAGATCCTTTAAGTTTTATTTCATATCCCACAAATTACCCCTCTCGCCACTCACTAAGTCCCATTCCAATATGCTATAGTTAAAGACCAATGGATGAGGAATACCCCATCCTGCACCCTCAGAAAGACTAGACTCAAGTAATTTCACTAATCTGAGACTACGTTAAACAAGGCAAGTATAATCAGGCCCATCTCACAAATCCTATCTACAATAATAAAGGAGTAATTTGCAAATTAACCATCACTCTGTTACACCCACAAGCCACGCCCACCAGCCAGTCAGGAGCGAGTATGCAAATTAACCCAACTAAGATGGCTGTGGCCACAGAGCAAGCAAGAGGCTTGGGTTTCCCCGGCAATGGAGGAAGCCACGCTTTCCACACACTCTGGCCAGCCCAGGCCTCCACTCAAGGCTGTAAAGTTTCAATTATAGAAGATAAAGAAATCCCAACAAAAATGGCTGCGGCCTCGGAGCACACAGGAGGCTTGGCTCCACTCAAGGCTACAAAGTTTCAATTATAGAAGATAATTAAATCCCAGATACCAGGGCCTCTGCTTGGGTCACCAGAGGGCGTGGCCGGCCTGCAAATAACCACAGGCCCCTTGCCCAGGCTGCTCCATGCTCCAAGGGAACCCCCACCCTGATCAGGGACACTCTTCAGGGCAAACTAACTGGCCCCCACCCATGCACCAGGCCTCTATCCTATCTAATAAAAGAGTAATATGCGGATTAACCATCACTCCAACACACAAGATGGCTGCCCCCATGTCATCAAAGATGGCTTCCCCCATGTGGACACAAGATGGCCACCACAAGATGGCCAACAGGGGAGGGCAATTAGAGGTGACCAGGCCGGCAGAGGAGGGAAGTTGGGGGCAACCAGGCCTGCAGGGAAGGGCAGTTGGAGTGGGGAGATCAAGGCCTGCAGAGGAGAGCAGATGGGGGGGACCAAGCCAGCAGGGCAGGGCAGTTAGGGGTGACCAGGCCTGCAGAGGAGGGCTGTTAGGGGTAAACAGGCTGGCAGGTGAGCAGTTAGGCCTCAATTAGGTTGGAAGGGGAGTCGTTAAAAGGTGATCAGGCTGGCAGGTAGAAGCAGTCAGGGGCAATCAGGAAGGCAATCAGGCAAGCAGGCAGTTGGAAGCCAGCAATCCTGGATTGTGAGAGGGATCCTAGATTGGAGAGGATGCAGGCTGGCCTGAGGGACACTCCTGCGCCGCCACCCCCCCCCCCCCCCCCCCCCGGCCCTGCTGTGCACAAATTTTGTGCACCGGGCCTCTAGCATGAAAAATATAGCTGAGAAGCAAGTCATTTTCCCAAGTTTATATCAACAGTTAGATATAGAGGTGGGGCCAGAACCAACGTCTTTTGATTCCTACTATGAAGTTCTTTCCACTCTGCCACACTGCTTTTCTTTTATAATTACTACATTGAACTAAAATGGGATTGCTGTTGTTAAAGGTAAAAAATCAGCCCAATATTGGTAATTTTATAAGGTTAAACTTGTTTTAAAATTTTATTTCTTTACTGATTTTAGAGGGAGAGAGAGAAAAAAACACTAATTTGTTGTTCCACTTACTTATGCATCTATTGGTTAATTCTTGTATGTACCCTAACAGGGGATCAAACCCTCAACCTTGACACATCCAGACAGTGCTCCAAACAGCTGTTCTACCCAGCCAGAACAATAAGGTTAAACTTTAACAAATAACATGAAAGCTTTTTGAAAAGTATAAAAGGTTCTGCCAACATCAGGTCTAACCACAGTGATTCTCAATCAGTAATGATTTGTGATTAATATTCCAGCAATTCAATAATATGCAGCTTAGAGCACTATTACCTTCCTCACATATATAGATTTACCTAAAAGAACACTACACTTATCAACTGAAAAACTGATTTCAAGTACAATTGACATTTAATAAACTGGCTTTTCAATGCACTGAAAATTTTTGTAATTTGTAAAAAATCTGTAACAGTATTTTTAAATGTGTTTTTTTATCCCCACCTGAGTACGTTTTTACTGATTTTGAGAGAGAGAGAGGGAGGGAGAAAGAGAGAAAGAGAGAGAGAATCATCAATCAGTTGCCTCCTGTGTGAACTCAACTGTAGATCAAACCAGCAACCTGGGTATGTGTCCTGATTGGGAATCGAATCCACATGTTTCAGGGTACTGGATGATGCTACAACCAACTGAGCCTACTGGCCAGGGCTCTGTAACAGTATTTTAAAACTCTTTTCTTGTTGTTGTTATATATATATAAAATCTCCACAAAATTCACAATTTTAGTCACTTTTAAGTGTACAGATACTGAGTAAATTGTTGTGCAACTATCACCACCATTTATCTCCAGAACTTTTTCATCTTCCCAAACTGAAACTCCAACCCATTAAACAATAACTCCCCACTCTCCGCTCAGCCCCTGACAACTATCACTTTACTTTCTATCAATTTGATTACTCTAGGAACCTCATATGAGTGGAAATCATTGAATATATGTCCTTTTTAATCTGACATATTTCACATAGCAGCATATCTTTAAGGTTTATCCATGTGTCAGCATTTCACTCATTGTTAAGGGTAATATTCTATCCATTTATGATAAATATTATGGTGTATATGCTACATTTTTTTCTCTTCATCCATCAACAAATGTCTAAGACAGTGGTTGCCAACTGGTGGTCTGCAGACCACTGGTGGTCCATGAGATCCAAAAGGTTGGCGATCTCTGGTTTAAGGAAACCTTTGGAGCAGCAGTCGCCAACTGGTGGTCTATAAGGTCCGAAAAGTTGGTGACTGCTGTTCTAAGATGTTTTCACCTTTCGGCTATTGAGAACAATGCTGCTATGAACATGGGTGTACAAATATCTGTTCAAATCCTTGATTTCAATTCTTTTGGATGTACAACCAGAAGTGGAATTGTTGAATTCTTCTATGGTTAATTTTTTGAGGAACCGCCCATACTGTTTTCCATAGTGGCTGCACTATTTTACACTCCCACCAGCAATAGTAACATACAGGGGTTACAATTTCTCCACATCCTCAACAACACTTGTTATTTTCAGTTTCTTTGATTGATAACAGCCATCCAAAGGGGTGTGAAGTGGTATTTAATTATGTTGTTGGTTGTTTTTTTATTGTTTTGTTTACATATATTTTTGTTGATTTTTTACAGAGAGGAAGGGAGAGGGATAGAGTTAGAATCATCGATGAGAGAGAAAAATCGATCAGCTGCCTCCTGCACACCCCTACTGGGGATTGCCCACAACCAAGGTGCATGTCCTTGACCAGAATCAAACCTGGAACCCTTCAATCTGAAGGCCAATGCTCTATCCACTGAGGCAAACCGGTTAGAGTGGTTGTTGTTTTTTTAGATTATTTTTTAAGTTGTGCCGAAACCGGTTTGGCTAAGTGGATAGAGCGCCGGCCTGCGGACTGAAAGGTCCCAGGTTCGATTCTGGTCAAGGGCATGTACCTTGGTTGCAGGCACACCCTCAGTAGGGAGTGTGTAAGAGGCAGCTGATCAATGATTCTCTCTCATGGATGTTTCTAACTCTCTATCCTTCTCTCTTCCTCTCTGTAAAAAATCAATAAAATATATTTTGTTTTTAAAAGATTATTTTTTAAGTTGTGAATTTTTTCCTTGTTACTTTGCCAACAGCTATAACACGATAGGGCAAAAGTGCAAATTTTGGCCATGACTGCTCACCCTTTGTGCCAGCCTATCTATCTATCCCCATGAAGTTTGAGAATATACCTCAACATCCTATCTAACAAAAGAGTAATATGCAGATTGACCATCACTGAAACACACAAGATGGCTGCCCCCATGTCATCAAAGATGGCTCCCCCATGTGGATACAAGATGGCCACCACAAGATGGCCAGCAAGGGAGGGCAGTTGGGAGGGACCAGGCCTGCAAGGTAGGGCAGTTGAGAGGGACCAGGTCTGCAAGGGAGGGCAGTTGGAGGCAATCAACCCTGCAGGGGAGGGCAGTTAGGGGTGGCCAGGCTGGTAGAGGAGGGAAGTTGGGAGCAAACAGGCTGGCAGGGGAGCAATTAGACATCAATCAGGCTGGCATGTGAGTAGTAGGGGGTGATCAGGCTGGCAGGCAGAAGTAGGGGCAATCAGGAAGGCAAACAGGAAGGCAATCAGGCAAGCAGTTGGGAGCCAGCAGTCCTGGATTGTGAGAGGGATATCCGACTTCCCGTTTAGACTCGACCCCAGTGGGATGGAACACCCCCCTACCCTGTGCACAAATTTCGTGCACAGGGCCTCTAGTATGACATAAGCTAATATTCATAATTAATCAGCAAACTAACACACTGGTTCTGTATTGTGAGAAGCAACCTTGCTTTGAACTGAACCAGAGCAGCATTTAAAAGGATTTTCACATCTGGGGTTGTAATGGTAGATTGGAAAGGGTGCTGAACTTGAAAATTGTATTCTAATCCTGTCTGTGTGAATTCTTAATTTTATTTATTGATTTTAGAGAGAGAGGAAGCAGAGAGAGAGAAAGGAAAACATTGATTGGCTATTCCACTTATTTATGCATTCATTAGTTGTTTCCTGTATGTGTCCTCACTAGAGATTGAATCCACAACCTTGTGGTATCTGGATGATGTTTTAACCAACTGAGCTACCTGGCCAGGGCAATTAATTCTTATAGCCATCTCTCTATATAAAAGCCTAATATGTTGTTAGTTAATAGTCCCTCTAACTCAGGCGTCTTCAAACTTTTTAAAGTGGGGGCCAGATCACGGTCCCTCAGAGAGCTGGAGGACCGGACTATATGAACTACTGATTCCTACTGTAACACCTCGGCTGCGCTCACTGCCCAAAAAACCTGGCGGGCCGGATCAGGCTCCTCTGCGGGCTGCATGTGGCCCACGGGCCATAGTTTGAAGACGCCTGCAACTGTTCAACCATTTGACCAGTTGCTGTGATATACACTGGCCATAAGAGGACAGACGCTCTGACTGGTAGGTTAGCTTGCTGCTGGGGTCTGGCCAATCAGGACTGGGTGAGACAGCCCTCCCGCAATCCCTCCCTGGCCCCAGTTGTGCACTGGTGGGGGTCCCTCGGCCTGGCCTGCGTCCTCTTGTTATCTGGGAACCCTCAGGGGATGTCAGAGAGCAGTTTCAGCCTGAACCCCACAGGCCAGGCAGAGGAACCCCACTGGTTCATGAATTCATGCATCGGGCCTCCAGTAATCTGATATAATCCAATTTAATCATTAGGATGAGAACAGAAAAATATTTTAGTAAGAAGCCACTGTTTGTTGAGTGCAGTTATTATGCTCTCATTGACAATAAAGGACACATGTTATAATCCTAATTAGATAGAAGAGGAAACTGAAGCTCAGAGACATTAAATAATTTGGCCAGTTTAAATACACCTGCTCTAGGCAGTGACTTTCTCCAAGGTCTAGGAAGACTATAAAAAAGTTCACTAGAAAAAATGGAATTTTGTGTCTGGATGGGCCTGGGCACAGGGTGGTGGTGTAGGGGTCTTTTTAAGAATTCAAAATCATGGGCCTGCTGTCATACTGATCTGGGATTCAGTTTTCAATTCATTGCTTACCTGTGTGGAAAACATTGAGCTAAGAAATTAACATAAAGTGGTCCTGCGTTACTTATATTCTAGGATATCTGCAAGATGCAATGTGAATTCTCTTTATACAGAAGTCTCTTTTTCTAGGCTGACCAGGAATCCCACAGATAAGTTTGAAATTCAAAAATATAAAATACTAGACAGCCTGTGTGATCTTAACAAGGCACTCAGCTTCTTTGAGACTCATTTTCTTAATCTGTAAAACACAAATAATAACTCCTCCTTCACAAGGTTGTTGTAAGGATTAAAATGATAATGTGTTGAGGGAACAGAAAGGCGGTTCTCAACCTGTGGGTCGAGACCCCTTTGGGATCAAATGACCCTTTCACAGGGCTCACCTAAGATATCCTGCATATCAGATATTTACATTGCGATTCATAACAGTAGCAAAATTACAGTTATGAAGTAGCAACGAAAATAATTTTATGGTTGGGGCTCACCACAACATGAGGAACTGTATTAAAGGGTTGCAGCACTAGGAAGGTTGAGAACCACTCCACTAGAGTAATAGCTGGCATTTATGGAGTGCTATGCAAGGAGGTTGATATGCACTACCATCTCTAACCCTTACCAGAAGGTAGATGCTATTATCTTCACTTTAACAGAGAAAGAAACTTCAGCTCAGCAAAGTTAACTGTCTTTTCCAAGATCACACAGCTAGTGGAGCTACCACTATTTAAACCAAGATTTGTCCATGTTCTTTCCACTATAAACCAATGGTGGCAAATCATCTGTCAGCTCCAGCCCACAATACACTGCGTTGGAAAAAATTCTGACACTGCATCCAGTGTTCACTCAGAGTGATGGCACATTGCCACACATTTGACATCCCTAAAATACAGCTGAAATGCTATAAAAAATACAAGGTACACTCATCTACAACATAATTGTTACTATTCTCAAATTCAAGTTTTCTAACAAAAGATACTAAGAAAACCAAGAATACTTGATAAGAAAAAGGTCTAATAATTTGAAGAATTCTAAATAACAGCATAACTTATTGCTAACATTGTCGATAGAAATCTTGAACAAAGCAGTCATCCGATTAAATGATAGTTCTAAAAATAGAAATGTCAATAAAGGTACTATTAATTTGTTAACCCTTAATGCATATTAGCTATTATTCTAATTTAACAGTTGAACATTTTGCCTTTTTCTTGGGGATTGTTAGCTCTTTGGTTGAACAAAGTCCCTATGCGTTTACAGCTTCTATCAATAGAAATACATTTTACAGTGTCAATTATAGCAGGTGAGGATATAGTGTATATTATTGGTGAGGACAATCTCTGGAATTACATTCTAAACTTTTAATTTCTTCCAAAAATTTCATTTATATACTTTTTCATATTGCAAAGTGTTATCAGTTTTTTGGGGTTTTTTTTCTACCACAAAGCCTGTGCCTTATAAAGTACTTATGATAAGGTATGATGAGAAGCAGCAAATCCTCAAAAACCTCATACTTACAATCTCTCAAGAGAGTATTACTTTTCCTTGGGTATAAAACATGCATGAATTTTTTCCCAACAGCTTTTAGATCACGCATCTGAAAGACATACACAACTATTATATTGTGAGAACCAAGGTTGCCAGGCAGCCCCCTAACTTAATTTGCTAAAATCTCCTTTATTTCAATTTCCTGGGAGGCCTTTGTTGAATTTTAGAGTTAAAATTCTAGTTCAGCCCTTTCACTATACAACCCAGAGACAGGTTTTTTTTTCTGTTAACTCCTTAAGCTTACATCTCTTTACCATATCCACCGGTTCTGTTTTGATTATTTAAACTGTAAAAGAGAAATATAGCTCTCCTAATATGTTAACATATAGAAACTAAAATCTGTTCTGTAAAACACAGCATCTGGATTTCAGTTTATACATAATGACATCCCAAGGGCCAATTAGCTTGCTCCCTGGCCACCATATTCTCCACAATATATAAAATAAATTATTTTCAACATTCCCAGTTTTACTGGCAAATAAATCCTAGAAGCCAGATTAACTAATAATCAAGACATTTGAGAAAGGGTATGGCAATATAACCACTCAAAATATAGTTGAGATAACTCCATCCTAAATTTTCACCTAGAAATTTCCTCATATCATTAATAATTCTGTGTTAAATATGATTTTTAATGGTTGTTTAGCATTCTACCACATAGGTGTAACATAACCTGTTCTTCAACTTTTCCCTATTATAAAGAATGCTGTAATGAATATCTTTGCATATTAATATTTCTCAGTATTTTTTAAAAAATAGTTTCCTATTTTAAAAAAATGTCTTTATACTATATCTGAAGCAGAATAAGCAGCATAAAAATATTTGGAAATTTTAAGATTCTTAATAGACATTATAGCCAAACTGATTTTCAGAAAGCCTGTGCAAAATAATTCTCGAGGAAAGAATCTCAAATTTCAATAAATAAATTATACTGAAGATCAAACGAACCAAACAAAAATATTACAAAGAGCTATTAGTTATTTAGTCCCCTGACATTAAACAGAAATTCTCTTAACTAGTCTAACTTACAATGGTATTCTGAACCGATTCATTTAGTGTGGAGCTGTCAAATTCCCGAATGCGAGATCTCATAGGAATGGTGATTTCTCCTTCCACAGGGATGTCTTGTGAGATAGATATTTCTGAAAGGCCTGCGAACTGATAAGAGTTAGAAAAAACATTAAAAGCTTGTCATTCCTCCAAGGCATCACCATTTCTTAGAGAATAGGGACTATGTCTTTTTGTAGGGTTTTATACAGTTTTTAAAGTAAAAGCTCACCAGACAAACAATGTAGTTACTTAAAACCTCAAATGTTTATTCCTTTTAATTCAAAGGAAATGGCATATAATGGGAAAAAAGTATAATGAAAATGAAATAGATACTTGCCCTCAAATATTTGGTGTCAGGGTTCTTGTTCTGGCATTAAGAAGGGTTCAGCATTCTGGAGAAAGTCTATGTGTAACTTAAGAGTACAGAGACGAAAGATAATTTTGAAAGGCATTGGAGGTCAGAGGAACCTGGCTAAAGAAACCAAGTTCTCTTTGTCTCAGGACCCCTTGCTTTTTATTAAGACAAATTGTCCTAAGGCAAGGTGGAGATATACACTTCAAAAGGTAGGGTTTCTGTATGGAAGCATTGTCAAATTGGGGATGAGCCTATGGCTGGTTCAGGTGTTTGGCCAGTAGGAGGCAATAACATGTAGATTAAGATACCCTGAGCTGTCTGGCAGCAATCAATCATCCTTTTCAAGTTTGGAGAAATGCCTTTAGCCATTCCTAATAGGCAATAGTGTATGGGACTCAGTCCTTGTTGAGCCCCCAAGTTCCATCAACATTTTAATGAAACTCTTGCAATTATTACATGCTGGAATTGGCTTCCAGCAAATTGCTTTATTCCAAGCATGAAATCTTCACATGACACAAGCTAGCAAGACCACAGGGCTATTGGTGACTTTTCAGCAATCATATTTTAGCAAAGCCACAATTCTGTTGCATTTCTACTCCTTAGTGGCCTCTGCTAGCTAAAATGGAGCATCATGTGAAGACAAAGTGTAACTGGGAAGAACAGGGAAATAGCAAAATACATCCTGATCTACATCCCTCCTTTTTTCTGGGATATTATGTGGGTGTGTTTTGTTTTTTTTTAAGTTTATCTTTATTGTTGAAAGTATTAGAGATGTCCCCTTTTTATTGCCCATTGACCCACTCCATCCTTATTTTTTATAGCGGCATCCACCTTGATCTGCACTCTTTTTACCAGGTTACCTAGCAACCACAGATCAAGTACTATTTCCAAAGTGAACTGCACATTTGCAAACCTTTAAACTCTATGGTCATCTGCCAAATTTGATTATTATGACTGAAACTCTGGAATCTACAAATCACTAAGAAAAGAGAAGCAGTACCTTCTTCTATGGTTTTTGGCCTAACAGGCAGAACATTTTTCTGGGCAACAGTTGTACGTTTATAAAATACAAGTATATTGAAATTTTAAGAAAAATAAGGTTGTTCAAAGAACTTATAAAAAGCAACTTCTCAATCATACTATTAAGAAAAATAAAAATTAAAACTTCTTGAAATAAAAATCTCCACTTCACCCAGATAGTGTGGCTTAGTGGTTGAGAGTTGATTTATGAATCAGAAGGTTCAATTACAGGTCAGGGCACATGCCTGGTTACAGGCTCAATCCCCAGTAGGGGACTTGCAGGAGGCAACCAATCAATGATTCTATCTCATCACTGATGTTTCTGTACCTCGCTCCCTTCCTCTCAGAAATGAATTCCTCTCAGAAATAAAAAATATATATATATCCGCCTGTTAGATTGGCAAAAATCCTAGTTTCTCAACATACTCTACAGAGAAAAGAACACTCACGCATTTCTGTGGGGATGCAAAATGGTACTATTGAAAATAAATCTGGCAATATCTCAAGAGTGTATATGAATCACTTATTACCGTATTTTTCGGACCATAAGACGCACTTTTTTCCCCCAGAAGTGGGGGGGGAAAGTCCCTGCGTCTTATGGTCCAAATATAGCCTACACATATACTTTAAAAAAAAAGTTTTTTTACTTGCCCGGCTCTGTGTGGTCTCTGTGTGCTTGCCCGGCTCTAAAATGGTTCTAAATGCTGCTGTTTATTTTACAGGGTTGATTACATGTGTTTATGACTGTGATGTTGGGTTTTAAAGCACATAAAATATTTTAGGACACTATTTGTTTCAGAATCTTTTTTTCTTCATTTCCCTTCTCTAAAAACTGGTGCGTCTTATGGTCCGGAGTGTCTTATGGTCTGAAAAATACGGTAACTCTGCAATACTACTTTTAAAAGAGTCTAAAGATAAAATGGCAAAAAATACAAACAGTCATATACACAAGGCTATTCATCACAACACTATTTGTAAAAGCAAAAAACCTGAGAATAACCAAATGTTCATCAACAGAGAACTATCAATAGTTGAATCAAGTATGGTAAGTCCACATAATGGATTACCATGCAGCTGTAGGAAGAAATGAGAATGTTTCTAAAGAACTAGTGTGAAGTTTTAAATTTTAAAACAATGTGGAGAAAAGTTTGTATACCATATATGCTACCATTTACCTAAGAAAAAGGAGACACAAATACTTGCACATATCTGAATGTTATCTTTTAAATGGAAGAAATGTGTAAGAAACAATCATATGTAATGTAAGAAATAAATTATGATTTTTGTTTTAATGAGGCAGCTTACTGAGAAAAAGAGAAAATAAGGTTGAGGAGACAGGGAGAAGTAAAGCTTCTCTGAATATACTTATTATTCTGTATATATTAAAAGCTCAGTGCATGAAATTCGTGCATGAGTAAGGTCCCTCAGCCTGGCCAGTGATCAGGCTGATCGGGGCCTTCTGGCTGCTAGCTGGGGCCTCCCTTCCCCAACTGCCAGGTGCTGACTGGGGTCTTCCTTCCCTGGCTGCCAGCTGCCATCTGGGGCCTTCCTTCCCCAGCTGCCAGCTGCCGGCCAGGGCCTTCCTTGGTTCCACACCGGCCCCTGGTGGTAAGCACACATCATAGCAAGTGATAGAACTCCTAGTTAAACCCCAAGGGGACAATTTGCATATTGGGCTTTTATATATAGACTAGGAGCCCAGCGCACAATTCAAATCACATAGTGCCGCCAACTCTTGAATCGCTGGTCCAGCCCTGTCTTATTCCCCGGGCCCTGCAACAGCCATGGCCACTGCCGGTCTGACCCTGCCTCTCTCTCAGGCCCTTGAAGCCACTGCAGACACTGCTGATCAGGCCCTCTCCCCCCTCCCCCCAGCACAGGAGTGCGGAGGCCCCTGACACCCTGCCCCAGACATTGCGCATGCAACCTCCTCCTGTCCGATTGACCCATTACAGCGTCCTGGTTAACTAGCATATTTCTCTATTATATAGATATCTAGATAGAGACTTGAAATCATACAAATAGTTCACATGAATATGAAACAAAATTAAAATTTAAAAGCAGTCAGTCCCTTAAAACTGAAAGAAAATTTGAACAAATGAATCTACTGTATGTCCAATTAAATACACAACCACACAGAAATAAATTATTTCAAATGGTTTACAACACTGTAATTTTACTTCTGATTAGGATGTAGAAAGCTGGAAAGAGCATTCCTCCCATCAGAACAATGAGAAAAAAGTAGATAAAAGATAAAATTGTAACTTTCCTGGAACCCACCAGAGAGCTGAGGTTATAGGGCTACCAAATATCCTAAATGAAACCTAAGGAAAGACAGGTGCTTCCAAGAAGAGATTGGACATGAATACTAGCTCATCTGTAGCAAACCATGAAGACAGCAAAACTCCTGACTAGATTGACTTAACTTCCATACTAGCAATATAGCAGAAAACTTGTATCATTTCCAGGATGTCTCTACTGATCTTTAAATGATGCCCAACATTCAATAAAAAATTATCCCCACAAATATACACTCCCATCCACACACACAAAACCCACTGTGACAAAACAAAGCAATCAATAAAACCAGACTGAAATGACCCAAATGTTGTTATTATCAGAAGAAAATATTTTTAAATAACTGTAATTAATATGTTAAAAGCACTAGTAAAGCTCGGCCAGTGTGGCTCAGTTGGTTGGGTATCATCCTATGCACTGAAAATTTGCTGGATCAATTCCTGGTAAGGCACATGCCCGGGTTAAGGGCTCAATCCCCAATAGGGGGCTTGCAGGAGGCAGCTGATCGATGTTTCACTCTCACACTGATGTTTATCTCCTCTCTCTCTTGATTTCTCTCTAGAAATCAATAAATCAACATATTAAATTTTTAAAAAGCACTAGTAAAAAGGTGCATGCACAAACTAAGATTAATTTCTGCAAAGAGAAGGAAACTGTAAAGGTCAAAGGGTAATGCTATAAATAAATAAACCCAGTAACAGATGAAGAATGCATTTAACAGCTTTTTATCAGTAGACTCAAGAGAGCCAAAGAAAGAAATTAGTGATAGGACAGCCATAATTATACACACTAAAACAGAAAGAGAAGAGTTTATAAAGAAAACATAGATAGGACATCCTATATAATAAAGAGCTAATATGCAAATGGTTGTCATACCCTTATGCCGTAATGTCATAATGGCTCAGAAAATCAACACAGGGGAGAGAGGAATGGGGACCGGCCAGGCACAAATGAGCTCATGAGAGAGGAATGGGGACCAGCCAGGCTGCATTTTGGGAGAGAGACAAGCCGTCCACCCTGCAGTCCCAGGCGCCAGTGGCTGTATCTGTGCCTGTGGCCCAGGAGAGGGACAAGCCACCTGCCCCAAGTCCTAGGCTCCAACACCTGTGGCCTGGAGAGGTCCTGGGCACCAGCGGCTGCATCTCCACCTGTGGCCTGGGAGAGGGGTAAGCCGCCTACACCGCGGTCCTGGGTGCCAACATCTATGCCTGCGCCTGCAGCCTGGGAGAGGAATAAGCCACCTGCCCCACAGTCCCAGGCTGTGGCCTTAGCAAAGCTGTCCACCTACAGTACCCTGCGGCTGTAGACAACCTGGGTCCTAGGTGCCTGCGCTGGCCAGAGGGAGGAACCCCGGGTCCTAGGTGCCTGCGACTGGCCGAAGTAGGAAATCCTAGGTCTCGGGTATGGAGCGAAGCAGAGGCAGTTAAGGGTGATC